TGCGCCTGTAGTCCCAACTACTCAGGAGGCTGAGGCAGGAGAATCGCTTGAACCCAGGAGACAGAGGCTGCAGTGAGCCAAGATCACGCCACTGCACTCCAGTGTGGGCAACAGAGTGAGACCTTGTCTCAAAAAAACAAAGAAAAAGTCATTTAGATTGAAAAAAATATATATATATATGCTTTTTTAAAAATTTGCTAATATTTTATAAGCAATTGTCACATTTATCTTCATATTGAGATTTAGTTATATTTTTCATTCCTCATACTGTTCTTGTCTAGATTTTATACAAAATTATACCAGACCCATATACTATAGAGTATTTTTCTTTTTCTACTATTTGAAACAATATAGTTAGATAAGAGAAATATCTGTTGTTTTAAAGTTTAGTAAAACTTCCCCTAAAACTGTCTAGGTCTGGGTTTTTTTTTTTTTTTTTTTTAATAGATTTAGTTTCTATAATAGTTATTGATTATTGAAATTTTCCAAAGTCAATTTTGGTAATTTGTCTTCTAAATTGTGCGTTTTATCTTTTCAAATTCATTTCCATAAAGTTTTCATTTGCTTATCTCTACTTTATCTATAGTTATATAATTTACTAATTTCTAATATTGTTCTTTTTTTTGAGACAGGATCTTACCCTGTCACCCAGGATGGAGTGCAGTTGATCTAGCTTGATTCTTAATAAAGTAATCTATCCTTTGTTTCTGGTTGTTTTAAAATTCTTCCCCTTGGTATATTATGGGTTCATTAGTATAAGTTCAATTTTATATTTATTTATTTGTCTCATAATATCATAACTTGGAGCATACTGTCACTCAAAGAACTTTGTCATTCATCAATTCTAGGAATTTCAAAACTATTGTCTTCAAATATTACCTTCTTGGCTGGTAATTTACCTTCTTGGTTCACTCCTGTAATCTCAAGCACTTTGGGAGGCTGAGGTGGGCAAATTACTTGAGGCCAGGAGTTCGAGACCAGCCTGGCCAACATGGTGAAATCCCATCTCTACTAAAAATACAAAAATTAGCTGGCTGTGGTGGCACACAGCTGTAATCCCAGCTACTTGGGAGACTGAGGCATGAGAATTGCTTGAACCCAGGAGGCAGAGGCTGCAGTGAGCCGAAATCGCGCCACTGCACTCTAGCCTGGGTGACAGAGTGAGACTCTGTCTCAAAAACAAAAACAAAAACAAACAAATATTACATTATTGTATTCTCTTGTTTTCAGTATATATTTTTAAATTATACAGATGTTTTTCTTTTTTTTGAGATGGAATCTTGCTCTGTCATCCAGGCTGGTACAATCTCAGCTCACTGTAACCTCTGCCTCCTGGGTTCAAGCAATTCTCCTGCCTCAGCCTCCTTAGTAGCTGGGACTACAGATGTGCACCACCACACCAGGCTAATTTTTGTATTTTTAGTAAACACGGGGTTTCACCATTTTGGCCATGCTGATCTTGAACTCCTGACCTCAAGCGATCCACCTGTCTTGGCCTCCCAAAATGCTGGGATTATAGGCGTGAGTCACCTCACCTGGCCAACTTTCTTGTATTCTCTTTATCTTCCTCAGCTATGTTCTAATATCCTCAGATCTATCTTCTAGTTTATAAATTTTCTTTAACCATGACTAATTTTATTTTAAACTTGTCCAAGATGTTTTTAATTTCAGTGACAATATTTTTCATTTTGAAAGTTCTGTCTTTTTTCACACCTCTCTGTTCTTTGTCACTAGCTTCTTAGTTTTCATTATTGATGCTAGCCTGTCTTTACTGTCTTTAAGTAGGTATGTTTAAAATGATTCATCTCTTTCAGATTGTTGTGCTATTTCAAAATCTTAGGGAGCCAGTCGTCTGATTTGTTGTGTCTGCTGATTGTTCCTCATACTGGATTGTTTCCTCTTGCGAATTGTGCTTTTTTACCTGACCACTAATCTTCTGCAAAAACTTCTTTGTGTGTATGTTTGAGGAAATATCATATATTCTTTTTTACAAAAGACTTGTTGATGAGGAATACCTGGAGCTTCAATTTCTTACAAGAGACATTTTTTCCAAGCTTTACTTTCTAAGACTAGTGAGCAGAGATCGTATAAGCATCCTTTTCACTAAGAGTGACGCCCACTGGGCACGGTGGCTCACGCCTATAAACCCAGCACTTTGGGAGGCCGAAGCGGGCGGATCATGAGGTCAGGAGTTCTAGACCAGCCTGGCCAACATGGTGAAACCCGTGTCTACTAAAAATACAAAAAAACTAGCCGGGCATGGTGGTGCACATCTGTAATCCCAGCTACTCGAGAGGCTGAGGCAGGAGAATCGCTTGAAGCCGGGAGGTGCCACCCTTCTGTGATTCTAGTTTCATTTACACTTTCCTACCTCTGTACCTATATCAGCATTAAATTTCCATTCTCCAGCCATTGATATTAATCTATTTGCATCCAAAATCTTTCCAAACAGCTTTGTGTTCACTTTTGAGATGACCCTGGCTTTAAATTCGGTGATGAGGCCTTTCCTTTACTTACTTTTGAAACTGAACTATATATTGAACCTTTTATTTATTTTTTATTAAGAATTTGTATGTGTTCATAACAGTTTACCTTTTCATAAAATTGCATGTAAAACTTTGTAGTAAAAGTTTTAACCTGTGTTGCTACAAACAGCAAATTTCTTTTTTATGTTTTGCAATTTGCAAATAGCAAATAGAAGAGTTTGTAAATTAGATACACGAGTTTGGAAATTATATATCTTATTTTTACTGTAACTAGTGGTCACTTTAATATTTTTTATAAACGTATAAAGATTTGTTTTTCTGTAGCAAAATAGTTTTTTTAGTTCCTCTCATGGGATAATAGTGATGATTTTCTGCATGTTCTATATCATATTAATCATTAGTATTATTAGTAATCTGAAGTAAAATGAAGTATACTTCGTTTTCACTTTCTATTCTATTTTCCTTCTTTTTTTTCTTTTCTTTTCTTTTAT